ATCTGAATAATTACATATTCGAATAAAGGAGAATAGAAAGAAAATATTACAACAAGGTATATTCTCACAAATCTCTCTTAAATTAAAAGAATAATAGAAAAACAAAAGCTTAAGGAGGCCTCAGAGACCATCGGAGACTGTTTTGCTCGACATCGGGAGACTGCTAGGTTCTGTCTAGGAGAAAGTGGATGGGCAGCCAAAAGATGAGCTGGTTGGCCAAAAAGGTAGCCGGCCACCCAATTAGGCCGAGCCAACAACTCTGTTTTGTTGCAACACCAAAGAAAAAACAAGTAGGGGATATATGGGTAGCTAAACTCACCACTTCTAGCTAGATTGTATAGTACAAAATCAAAGCAAGCAAAGCAATTTAGGAAAGGAAACGCAAGAAAATAAAAAGTGTACAAAATTCACTATCCAAGGAAAGGATTTGAATTCTACACCTCCTTTTGACCACCCTTAAGTTTAGGAAGTGTGTTCTCAACTTCTCAAGATGGTATACATCAGTGTGCAAGGAAAATGGAAGTTTTTGAAAACAACTCTTTGCTTTTGGCAAAAATTCTCTCTTAATCAAAGTTTTCTCTCTTTTTCTCTCAATATCTCTCTTTTTCAAATCCTCTTTTTGTAATAACCCGGCCCTCGTATACGATTTTGGTATCTTTTCAGTCCTCTATTCTGTGCTTTTGAATGTTTATTGAGAAATGCTATGTGAAATTTCGTTGAACTAAGTGAAACTTGGAAATATGGATTCCTATCTGTTTGATAAGAACATTATCTATCACATTTAGAATGCTTAAATATGAAATTGGAAGCCTTAGAGGCTTAGTTGTCTGAAATTGATTTAAGATTTAAACTTGGCATAATTTTTAAGCTATAATGAGATTTTCTGTGAAATTTCAATTTAGGATGGTTAAACGATTGAATTTTGTTTTATTCGCCTTTAGATATATATAGGCTTATGTCCCTTATATGTTGAATCAAGAACTTTGGTTTAAAATATCTCTCTAAAAGGAACTCTAAAGAAAGGTTTAGAGGAGAGTGTTAGAGAAGGTCATCAAGAAAGGACTTTAGGAAGTTGAGAAGTTATTTGAAGATTGGAGTTCAAGGTGAGCTCAACCCCTCTAGTTCATTCATTTTTCTTGCTTTGGGGTAGAGATCCTTGGGTATTACATGATTTAGAATTGCAAGGGAAGCCTTGAATATGCTAATCTTATCATTCATTTATCTTTCTCTAACTTGAGTCATCTAGTATAAAGATGTATCTTGTTCTCTTACTTATTGAGTTTACATACATCCTTATGATTATGGTTTCATGTGTGTGGGTATGTGTATATGAAGATGGAATAATATGGAATTAATTTGTATTGGTGAGCCTAAAGTTAATGATCTCATTTACCTTAGCTTGATGTAGGTGAATGTAATTCTATTTTCTTGATGTTTTTTAGCCTATTAGAAGCCTTGTGATCGTCTAGAAAAAATGGGGTTTTGTTTGGAAAATTCGGACTGAAAATATACAGAATGGCCGCACGTGCGGGAACAACTGCCGCACGTGTGGGAGTCACGGGCGCACGTGCAGGAAAATGGGAAAATTTGGAGTTTTGGTTCTGCTTAAAAGGCACGTGCAGGACCATTCTGCCGCACGTGCGGGAGAGTTTGCCGCACGTGCGGGGCTCACAGCCGCACGTGCGGCCCAGACTGAAAATTTTGAGATGCTCCGTTTTGCGTGTTGGACCCTCTAATATTATCAGAATCTGTTATTAATACCATTTTGATATCTATATATTCAGTCGAAGTTAAGCGAATCAGAGAATAATTGAATAAAGAAAAGAGAACTAATTTGTGATCTTCTATGTGTGTAGGACACACTCCGGGAGAAACGAGTGCTCTGCCTCGACACTGTGAGTAATAGTACATTAAATGTACATCTGTCTACTGTTAATACCTAATGCTAACAACATTCGATTTTCCATAAGTTACTACATTAACATGTGTATAGAGTGAACTCGATAGAAATGTAAACATTGAAGGAAATTTGTACACTTGTATATTTCTGGGCCGAAAGGCCGTTCTGTTAGGCCGAAAGGCTGTTCTGTTGGGCCGAAAGGCTGTTCTGTAAATTTCTAGGCCGAAAGGCTTGTAAGGCTCCGGTGTCCCACATCGGGAATGGAGAGGGAGTTCCTGGGCTATAAAAGTGAAAACCTAGACCCTTATATAGCATCGAGGCCTTTTCCCAAGTGGTGAAATCCCTATTAGAACTCCCCAGTTAAGCGTGCTTAGGCTGGAGTAGTTTTTTTATGAATACAGTATGATGTATTACGATTTAAATTGGGTATTAAACTGTTTAAGTACTGTTATTCACTGAACTTGTCTCACTCTGTAATCTTGTTTAATTCTGTAGATAACCCACTTGGAGGTCAGTCTTAATATCGATTTCATCTACCTTTTGTCAACTTAAGTATGCCCAGGCATTTGGGGAAGCCGTGCACTTATTAGAGTTTTGTGGATTTTGGCTTGTACTCGTACCGACTACCGACTAAAGTTGGAATGTACTTACTATTTTGTTAGTTGCCCAATCTTAGAATTGGTGCTATATAACTATATGTAAATAACTCAATCTCAGATGCATATCTTTTGTATGTTTAATTACCGGTTGTTGTGTGATCCTGGCATGATGATAGTAGCTCAATGGATACATTTTGAGGTCATCTTTGACCATCTAACGCTTCCAATCAGGCCCCCCAAGTTATATATAATAGGTTAAGTGTCTGTTTCCGAATAGGTCATACCCAGACTATTAGGGGCAAGTTAAGGGTGTGACATACCCCTTGTGCGCGAAGGGTCACCACCTCGATGCATGTCTCCTCCCAGCTCAGCTAGCATCCTTGCTTCCCCTCTGCTCATTACAAATGGTATTAGAGCCGACTCTCCGAAGTACCGAGTGTGGGCCCCTGGCTTCTCTCTGTGCATGTGGGCGGGCTTGTGAGCTGGCAGGCTACTGCACGGGGACGTGCAGCCTTATGGGGGGTGGATTGTAAGGCGCCGGTGTCCCACATCGGGAATGGAGAGGGAGTTCCTGGGCTATAAAAGTAAAAACCTAGACCCTTATATAGCATCGAGACCTTTTCCCAAGTGGTGAAATCCCTATTAGAACTCCCCAGTTAAGCGTGCTTAGGCTGGAGTAGTTGTAGGATGGGTGACCCACTGGGAAGAACAAATCCGTGCGGGCATGACCCAAAGCGGACAATATCAATGACATGTAAAGGGTCGGGGCGTTACAAGGCTGTTTTGTTTTTCTGCGCCAATAGGCCATTCTGTTATAACTGAGCCTTAGGCCGTTCTGGAAGTGATACCGCATCAGATTAACTGTATGGATTCTATTTTTATGAATACAGTATGATGTATTACGATTTAAATTGGGTATTAAACTGTTTAAGCACTGTTATTCACTGAGCTTGTCTCACTCTGTAATCTTGTTTAATTCTGTAGGTAACCCACTTGGAGGTCAGTCCTAACATCGATATCATCTACCTTTTGTCAACTTAAGTATACCCAGGCATTTGGGGAAGCCGTGCACTTATTAGAGTTTTGTGGATTCTGGCTTGTACTCGTACCAACTAGCGACTAAAGTTGGAATGTACTTACTATTTTGCTAGCTGCCCAATCTTAGAATTGGTGTTGTATAACTGTATGTAAATAACTCAGTCTCAGATGCATATCTTTTGTATGTTTAATTATTGGTTGTTGTGTGATCCTGGCATGATGATAGTAGCTCAATGGATACATTTTGTGGTCATTTTTGACCATCGCTTCCAGTCAGGCCCCTCAGGTTATATATATAATAGGTTAAGTGTCTGTTTCCGAGTAGGTCATGCCCAGACTGTTAGGGGCAAGTTTAGGGTGTGACAAGTGGTATCAGAGCACGAGTTGTTATCTCACACACAGATCCATTGAGCTCTAGGATGTCTAGCAAGATTTAGGCATCATGCGTGAATGAACGATTGATAGGAACGTCATATGTATTTTGCTAACACCAATGATCATGAACCATGTTCTTGTGCCTTCTGTGTATGTTGTAATTATTTGTCTTGTAGAATATGGTGCGAACAAGGACAGAAGATTCGGAAGAAGCTACCTCAGCACGGTTGGATAGAATGGAAAGGATGATTGTGGAAATGGCAGAGACCTTACGGCAACAGCAACAGCAACAACAGCCACAGCCACCACCACCACCACCACCGGTACCCCCACCTGTGGTGCAAGATTTTCACGCTGAGGACCGCACCATTACACTTACAAAGGAGTTTAAAAAAATGAAACCACCCTCATTTAAAGGAGGAATCGAACCAATGAAGGCTGAGGCATGGGTGTTAGGGATTGAAAAGTTGTTCAAAGTCTTTCCTTGTACTGAAATCCAAAAGGTACAGCATGCTGTGTTCACCCTTGAAGATGAAGCGCGGAGGTGGTGGATGCTTACCAGAACAGTGCACCAGGGGTTAACATGGGACAGATTCTTGGAGCTGTTTTATGATAAATATTTTCCCTAGAGTATGCGAGACAAGAAGGTGACCGAATTCGAAACGTTGAGACAAGGAAATAAAACTGTTGTTGAATATGAAACTCAATTCACAGAACTAGCCCGATTTGCACCTCATATGGTGGATACAGAATATAAGAAGGCGCGGAAATTCGAAGGAGGATTATGGGGTACCTTTCTAGACCGAGTTAATGTGTTGAAGTTGCCTACCTACGTTGATGTGTTAGAAAGGGCTGTCATTGCAGAAGGGAATATTGCTGCTCAGACTCGGATTTTCGAATGGAAAGGAAAGAGGCAGAACAATCATTAGGTTAAAGGGTCAAATACTCCAGCAAACAAGAAGCGAAATTCAGGGACCTCCAGCACTACTACGCTTACTCAAAATTCAGCTCCTGTGTGTCCAGAATGTGGAATGAGGCACCGTGGAATTTGTCATCGATTGTCTGGAGCATGCTTCCGATGTGGTAAAATGGGTCATTTGATAAAAGATTGTCCTCAAAAGAATCAACAAAATGATAATAAGGCTGCCACAAGCTCAGTGGGGTCTACACCAGCTCCTAATGCCAAGACAGCTGCTAAACCTGTTAACAATAAGGATACGGCGAGGCAAGGTAGGGTATTTGCGTTGGTTCCGGGAGATGTTCATAGTGCAACAACAGTGGTGTCAGGTACATTTATGGTTCACGGTCATTCTGCTTATGTGTTATTTGATTCTGGTTCTACATGTTCTTTTGTGTCAAAATTATTTGCGAAACATTTAAATAAACCTGAAGAAGAACTGACTTATGAGTTGAGTGTATCTTCACCTATGGGAAACTCTATGATCTGTACCTCTGTATATCCTGCTTGTGAACTTCTAATTGGGAATGTCCGTGTATATGCTAATCTGTTACCTCTTGATATGAATTCTTTTGATATTATTTTGGGAATGGATTGGTTGGGTGAATATGGTGCCACCATAGACTGTTTGACTAAGCGGATCAGTTTCCATCCTCCGGGGCAATCGGAATCTACTTTTCAGGGACATGGGGTGATTTCTCCACCGTATTTGATTTCGGCAGCAAGAGCTTGTAAATTAATCCAGAAGGGGTGCCAGGGGTATTTATGCAGTGCATTGGAAGAGCAAGTAGTGAATGGGAGTACTGATAAAGTTCCAGTTGTCTGTGAATTTTTGGATGTTTTTCCGGAAGAATTGCCAGGAGAGTTAGTGGACCGTGAAATCGAGTTTACGATCGAAGTGTTACCAGGGATCCAACCCATTTCTAAAACTCCGTACCGGATGTCACCAGTTGAGATGAAGGAATTGAAGACGCAGTTGCAAGACCTACTGGATAAGGGGTTTATCCGTCCGAGTGTCTCTCCATGGGGTGCGCCGGTCTTGTTTGTGAAAAAGAAGGGCGGAACACTCAGACTTTGTATTGATTATAGGGAACTTAATAAGGTAACAATTAAGAATAAGTACCCATTGCCGCGGATTGATGATTTGTTTGACCAGCTACAAGGGGCACAGGTCTTCTCAAAGATTGATTTACGGTCCGGGTACCACCAATTGAAGGTTAAAGCTGAGGATGTGGAGAAGACAGCTTTTCGAACTCGATATGGCCATTACGAATTTTTAGTTATGCCCTTTGGAGTTACTAACGCACCAGCGGCATTCATGGATTTGATGAATCGTGTTTTTAAGCCCTAGTTGGATGAATTTGTTGTGGTCTTTATTGATGATATCCTCATCTACTCAGAGAATGCAGAAGCTCATAAGAATCATCTTCGTTTAATTCTTCAAACCCTCCGAGAAAAGAAGTTATACGCAAAGTTAAAGAAATGCGAATTCTGGCTACGTGAAGTGGCATTTCTGGGGCATGTCATAACAAAGGAAGGAGTCTCTGTAGACCCAAACAAGATTGAGGCAATCGTGAACTGGCCAACTCCAACTAATGTGACTGAAGTACGTAGTTTTATGGGATTAGCCGGACATTATAGGAGATTTGTTCAAGATTTTTCCAAGATTGCTGTACCACTCACACAGTTGACTAAAAAGGGAGTTGCTTTCGAATGGTCAGAACAGCGGGAATCTGCTTTCCAAGAATTAAAAATGAAGTTGACTACAGCTCCGGTCCTTGCCCTACCGTCCGGTACTGAGGGATTTGTGATTTACAGCGATACATCACATAAGGGACTTGGTTGTGTGCTTATGCAAAGCGGAAGAGTTACCGCTTATGCTTCTCGCCAGCTTAAACCCCATGAGAAGAGTTACCCCACGCATGACCTTGAGCTGGCTGCAGTAATTTTTGCTTTAAAGATATGGCGGCATTATCTGTATGGGACTACCTGCGACATCTATACCGACCATAAAAGTCTCAAATACCTTTTTACCCAAAAAGAGTTGAATATGCGCCAGCGGCGGTGGTTGGAGCTTATTAAAGATTATGATTTGCAGATCCATTATCATCCTGGTAAAGCCAACACGGTGTTGGACGCACTTAGTCGAAAAAATGTGGGAAACATGGCAAATCTACTAATAGGGCAGAAAGAGTTGGTAATTGAGCTGAATAAGATGGAGGTCGATTTGGTGATGCATGGTCAGGGAGCAACAGTGGCAGCAATGATGGCCCAACCGACATTACTTGAAGAGATTAAATTACATCAAAGGGAAGATGGAGCTCTAAAGAAGATATGTGATGAAATAGAGAGAAAACCGAGACCGGGGTTCACTTTGACGGATTCTGTACTCAAATTTCAAAATCGAGTGTGTGTCCCTAACGTGTTAGAACTTAAGCGGAAACTGATGGAAGAAGCACATGTCTCAAGGTTTTCAAATGCATCCATGAAGCACTAAAATGTACCGAAATCTGAAACAAAATTTCTGGTGGCCAAACATGAAAAAGGAGATTACAGAATTCGTCGCTAAATGTTTATAATGTCAGCAAGTAAAGGCAGAGCACCAGAGACCAGCGGGATTGCTGCAACCCCTTCTGATTCCAGAATGGAAATGGGAACATCTGACCATGGATTTTGTTGTAGGCTTGCCACGGACTCCCCGAGGTATGAATTCTATATGGGTCATCGTAGACCGATTGACTAAATCTGCACACTTTCTGCCGGTGAAGACCCAGTACAATGCAGACAAACTCGCTGTAATTTACGTGAATGAAATTGTAAGACTCCATGGTGTCCGGTCTCAATTGTGTCCGACAGAGATCCAAAGTTCGTTTCAAGGTTCTGGCAAAGTCTACAAAGTTCAATGGGTATAGAATTAAAGTTTAGTACTGCCTTCCACCCTCAGACAGACGGACAATCTGAGAGGACGATACAGACGTTAGAGGATATGCTCCGAATGTGTATTTTGGATTTCCAAGAAAGTTGGGAAACCCACCTACTGCTGATAGAGTTCGCATACAACAATAGCTACCATTCGAGTATTGAGATGGCACCTTATGAGGCTTTGTATGGAAGACCGTGTCGTTCTCCCGTGTGTTGGGCTGAAATTGGGGATAGATCATTACTAGGGCCTAAATTGTTCAGTTGACAACAGAGAAGGTCAAAATTATTCGGGAAAGGTTGAAAACTGCTCAAAGCAGGCAGAAGAGTTATGCGAACAACCGACGAAGGGCTTTGGAATTTGAGATGGATGGTTATGTTTTTGTGAAAGTTACTCCGATGAAAGGACATCCAAGATTCGGAAAAAGGGGTAAGTTAACACCCCCCGATATGTTGGCCCCTTCCAAGTTTTGGAAAGAGTGGGTCCAGTGGCTTACCGAGTTGCCCTTCCGCCAATTATGAGTCAAGTGCATAATGTATTTCATGTCTCTATGCTCCGAGGATATCTTCCGGACCCGTCACATGTCATAGATTACCATCAGATTATTCTGGATGATAAATTAACATATGAAGAGAAACCAATCCGGATCCTAGACCGACAAGTGAAACAGTTACGGAACCGAGAAATTCCAATGGTGAAAGTAGAATGACAAGAACATTACGGAACCGAAGCAACTTGGGAGAAGGAAGAGGAAATGCAACACCAATATCCGCATTTGTTTCTGCCCTAAGGTAAAACAAGTTTGGAGGACCAAACTTATTTAAGGGGGGGAGAGTGTAATAACCCGACCCTCGTTTACGATTTTGGTATCTTTTCAGTCCTCTATTCTGTGCTTTTGAATGTTTATTGAGAAATGCTATGTGAAATTTCGTTGAACTAAGTGAAAATTGGAAATATAGATTCCTATCTGTTTGATAAGAACATTATCTATCACATTTAGAATGCTTAAATATGAAATTGGAAGCCTTAGAGGCTTAGTTTTCTGAAATTGATTTAAGATTTAAACTTGGCATAATTTTTAAGCTATAATGAGATTTTTTGTGAAATTTCAATTTAGGATGGTTAAACGATTGAATTTTGTTTTATTCGCCTTTAGATATATATAGGCTTATGTCCCTTATATGTTGAATCAAGAACTTTGGTTTAAAATATCTCTCTAAAAGGAACTCTAAAGAAAGGTTTAGAGGAGAGTGTTAGAGAAGGTCATCAAGAAGGGACTTTAGGAAGTTGAGAAGTTATTTGAAGATTGGAGTTCAAGGTGAGCTCAACCCCTCTAGTTCACTCTCTTTTGATCAAGGCTTAAGAGTATGGCTCTAACAGAATTTATGAAATGATTTTCGCATATGGAAATATAGAATATCAGTATGTATGGAAGATCTGGCTCAAAGCTTAAGGTATTTCCTCTTTCTCTCTCAAACTCTCGATTCACTCTCTCGATTCAATTCCATCCTTTCTTTATCTTTCTTATCTATTATGATCCTCTCTATCTCTACATGCAATCAAGGAAGGTTGTTAAGTCAAGAAGAAGATGGGAGACAGGGATGATGGGGTGACAGAGGTGGTTGAAATGAATGCAACCTTATGGAAGGGGACAAACCCCATTTTGACAATGGAGGCCAAAGGAGGATAATGGAGGGGACCTAAATACATCTCGTGCATTGAATGTATCATCAAAAGACCTGAAATGGCATGACCCACATGCTTTATCAAGAATTTTTTTGAAATTGCCCTGCTGTTGGACAATTAGCCGACCGACCAATTTATTGGCTGACCGGCCAAAAACTTGTCTTGGCTAGCCAAAATCTTGGCCAGTCAATTAATTGCTTGGTCGACCAATTAAGTTAGTCATGGCTGACTATTTTGCATGAAACAAGATTTTTCAACAAAATTCTCGTCCTTTCCTCCTATTTGCACACTGTTCTTTACTCAATTTCCTAAGAAAATGTTTCATTTTGAAGTTTAAAAGTGAGCCTTAGAACACTATGAAAATATTCGGAACAAAAAGCGGAAAGAAAGTTTCCAAAGACAGTTTTGAACGGGATTGGAACACTTGGCCAAAATAGGCTTAGGTTTGGAAATGAAGCACAAATTCCATCTTTCTTGCTAAGAATTTGGTGAGAAACACATTCTTGTTTTCATCATCAAGTAATCAAAAGAAAGCGCCCAACACTTAGGGTCGGTCAAAATGAGTTGTCTACAGTAGCTAATCAGCCAATAAATTGACTAGCTGGCCAATCAAGCCAGACTAAAAACTCTGTTTTGCTTCAAACACCAGAAAAACAAACGAAAAATATGCAAGTGGCTTAACTAACAACTTCTAGTTAGCTTACAAGAGGTTTATAACATGAAATTGAAGCAAGAAAAACAATATAAGGAAGGCGGAAAAAATATAAAAGAAAATGAAAATTGTGCAAAATTTACCTTTCAAATAATTATTTGATTTCCAAACTTCCTTTTGATCACCCTCAAGTTTTGAAAGTGTATTATTAATTCTCAGTTTGAAAATTCAAAATTCTTAATGGAATAGTATTTTTGGGTTGTTTAACAGTTTGTGTGGAGGGAGTTGTTCCAACTTTCTGTTTTTCTCTCTTTTCAACAAAACTCGCTCTCTTTTGGATTAAGGCTCTTGAATTTGGCTCTCACAGAATTTTTGGGATGGTTTTCGATACATAGAAGATGGTATATCAGTGTATGGAAGTGTTTTGGCTCAAAGCTTAAGGTTTCTCTCTTTCTCTCTCTATATCTCTTTTTTTCTCTTATTTCATTCCTCTCTTTTCATTCACACGTTATGATCCTCCATATAGATAATGAATGGCAAGCAAAGTCAAGGTGGTGGGAGACAAGATGGGAGACATGGATGATAGAATGACAAGAGTGAGTGAAATGGATGCTCTCTTTTGGGTAAGAGACAAATACCCTTTTGACAATAGAGGCCAAAGGAGGATAATGGAAGGGAGTGGGTGTGTATCTAGTGCATAAATCTATTAAGAAACAGCTATAATGGCATGACCCACACGCATTCAACAAGAATTCTGCTGAAATTGCCCTGCTTCTGGGAAAATTAGGCTGGCCGGCCAAAATATTAGTCGTGGCTGACTATTTTGCATGAAACAAGATTTTTCAACAGAATTATCATCCTTTTCTCCTATTTCCATACTATTTGTTGCTCAATTTCCATAGAAAATGTTTTATTTTCAAGTTTAAAAATGAGCCTCGGAACACTACAAAAATATTCGGAACCAAGTATGGAAAGAAAGTTTCGAAAGAGAGTTTTGAACGAGACTTAAGCACTTGGCCAAAATAGGCTTATGGTTGGAAATGAAGCACAAATTTCATCTTTCTTACTGAGATTGTTGTGAGAAACACATTCTTATTTTCATTATCAGGTAATCAAAAGAAAGCGCCTAAGTTTTAGGGCAGGTCAAAATAGGGTGTCCATACGTAGCTACAATAAAATAGATTAAGTCCAAAACAATTAAAAGCCCAAGGCTTATACAAAATATAATTACAACAAGAAATAAAAATGAGTGTTCAGCTCCACAGTTCTCTCAAGCTAAGTCCTTGGTGGAAGTATATCATCAGCACCAGAAAGTTGTTTTTCACGTAGGGTGAGCTAAAGTCCAGTAAAGATGCTCAAATACAACATATGAAGCTTAACAAAATTATGTGGTGAATGTAATGCAATACCATGCCATTTTCCAAAACATCATGCTTCCTTTTTCAAAACAATGCCATGTCTCAATAATATGTGATTCAATACAATAATAATACTTTTCTAGCTAGAAAACAGGGTAGTGGATACAAAATATTGGGAATCTCAAGGTATGTGTTTGCCAACAGGCTATATAAGTACTACTAAAGCCATTTTATCAGTACTAATTGAAAGGATTGGCACCTAACTGCGTGGGTTTTTGGACTTTCACCAGGGACACACAGGCCAACATAATAACCATAACCACACCCCTAACCAGATTCACCACTATACACTCCTTTTTTCTCAAAACAATACATTTTCAATGTTTCAATATGAAACAATGTTCAATGTAAGATGTATGAGTAATTAGTTTCAATTAACCTAATCCTCATGCAATTTCTACAACAATCGAAGCTATCCTCATCCGATAGGCCAAAACAGATATTTCTAATCAACATAAAATTTTCCAACAACAATTACAATCTCATAATTCTTCAAAATAGGAGTGATACATATATCTACTCCACCCTCATTATCAACATATACAGCCTTTCAAATACCCAACCCCATTCCTTTTTCTTTCATAAATCAAACGTTTATGATTTTCAAATCACACGCCTTTTTTCAAAAAACACTTTTAAAGAAGAGATTTCTAACCTTTCAACATAACTCAACAATAAACACATCCTCACCGCCCTGTAGACCGCCCAAACTCACTCCCCGTGCCCCCCTTTCGGAGAGGGCGCGAATTGTGTTCTAGCTACTACAGTTTGGACTCCTATCACGGTTCTGAATCTAATCTCACAAAGTGCAATGTAAGACT